TTGGCCACAGCGTGGCCATAGACTGGCCAGAGAATGGCCACAGACTGGCCATAGATTGGCCAGAGACTGGCCAGAGAATGGCCACAAACTGGCCAAAGAATGGCCATAGACTGGCCAGAGAATGGCCAAGCCATCAAACACCCTCTTACCTGCCAGATACTCGGCTTTTAACACAGCAAATCATCAAAAAGCAGTGTACAAACAACCAAAAAACCACACGTATTTATCACCTGTTGGTGCAGCAGGCGCAAGCACTTACCGATTTGTTTAAAAACTTAGGGTTCACATGGATGCTAGAAGTATTCACATTGGGGGGTAGAGGTTTAATTGGCCAAGCAGGATCTAATGAGTTGACTCTGACATCAAGTGCATACAGTTTCTTCAAAGGAAAAATATCATCCCATGTGGAGCGCAACTTAAATAAACTTTTCCTAGTATTTTCATCCACCTAAAACAATAAAACAATTCTATGGCTTTTTTAGTTAATATAAAAAAGTTAATATAAAACAACTTCTCAACACTTTTCTGCACAGCTGCAGATTCAGTTCTTAGCTCTAGCAACAGTTTTCTTGGTTTAAAAACACCAAATTTCTAAGCAGCGCGGACCGCATTTCTCTACCGAGGGGGCTTAGCGACAGCAGCTCAGATGTGGAATTGCTGGGGTAGGAAAGGGGGGGAAGGTTTTGCTTTGAGATTTGTCTTTCAATGTTTCCATTTACCCACATTCTCATTTTAGCTGCCCCATTTCTGCAGGGGGATGGGGGGAAAAAAATACGGCCGTGAAAACACCGAAAGGCAACAGCCTGCGAGACAAGGCATTAACTCGAGTGTTTGTGCTGAATGGAGTAAAAGGATCGCAAATAAATCAGCAAATTACAAACTCTGGGACCAGAAAAGGGGTTCAGCTCGGTGCGGTTTTGAGCCATTGAATTATTTGGCCCCGAGAAATGCAACCGAAGGGGCTCAAACGCATTAAATTTCGGTTCAGCTGCAAAATTTCACCCATCCGTGAGCGCAGGCCCAGCGTTCGTTTTACCTCTTCGTAATTAATTTGTGTTATCTCGGGAAGGTGGAAATTTACAGTACAACTGATCTCATCTCCTAACTTGACCGCTTCCATACGGCAACGAATCACCTTTAAATGGCAATAACCCAATTTGCTCATTAAACACCGACTATTTCGGTGGTTTTTGCTTTAAGGTGTCGCAGCAAAACGTCTGGAAATGTCTTTTCTGTAGGGATTCCTACAGAAATAATTTGGATTTATTTATTACGGGGTGTCCTTGTACAAATTTTCAAGGGGGGGGGATGTAGGGTTCACTGCAAAAGGTGCAGAAATGACTTGAGCAAAAGTTTCAAGCGTTTAAAGGCTCTGGTAAACCCCAATTTATAACCATGGCAATGCTTTAATTCTCTTTGTTATCTTCTAAGACAAGCACTCGAGCAGTTAGAAATGACTGCTGCTTGCTATGGTTAATTAAGAAACGTTAATTAAACGGTTCCAGTTAGCTTGGCAGTCAAAATAAACCGATAAAACTCTTGAAAAATCAGGTATTAACCAGAGCCTCAGCTGCAGCGTTAAATGCAACTGAGTAAAAAACATTCACATTTTATTAATACTGAAATAAAACAAGCGGTTGCTTATTTATCTGCTCAAGCCTTTTGTGGTCACTATGAGAACCTATTCCTTATTTTATCACGCGTTTTAGATCTGAAAATTAGATCTAGAAAGCACAGTGGGACCTCAGATCCTTGCTGATCCGTACTATATACGTGTATATATGTTTTAGATATAGATATCTATGGATTTATATATTTTAAAGTATATATTACTTATAATTATTTAAAATACATATATATATGTGTGTATATAATGCAAAAGCTCCTTTCATCTCATTCGTAAGAGACAGGAAACCACAGCATTTCACCCTTCGCTCGTGACCCAACTTAAACCCATTCAAAACCCGGCCTCCGATTTGAGGAACGCGGCGCAATTAAACGCGCCGGGGTTTAACGATTAAGAGCGAAACTGAAAAGATAAGGAATTAAATGGGGTTCAAAGGCATCGTTTGTCACCGCCAGGAGAGAAAAAAAAAAAATCAGGTGTCGGTGCTATCGCCTCTGCAGTTTTAAGGGCTCGTTTTGCACGTGGAGTTGAGTAAATGGGGAGAGGGCGGCTCTGAGAAAGCCACAAGCGGCTGCGCTTTTCAGCTTATTCTCAATATAAAACCTGTTGAACTCTCTTCAAAAGAAACCACCAACTCAGAATTAATGATGAAAAGTCCACCCAGGTAAGCAAAATATTGTCAGTAAAATCTTGCCTGGATGGGCGAAAAAATTCCAGACGTTTAGGGAGTCAAATCAAATTCAATTATATTCAATTCTGCACCTTTCAGCTCACGGATTATCACGGATAGCTTGGATAGCAACAAGGTAACAGCCTCAGATAATGAGATTTCTTTAAAAGAATAGGAATTATTACAAATTTAAGAGTTTGCACCTAAGAAAAACCCAAACCTGAACGCACGTATTTCTTTTTACCGGGAACAAATTTGGCTTAGAATTACAGAACTTATCGGAAAGCGGATAGATACCTTTTCAAATACACAAATAAAGGTTGCAACTAGGTTTTTAGTGAATGCAGTGAGATATTCTCTTCCCACATTCTTGACAATGGAATCCATAAGGTACATAACAGGGAGCTTCTCTGATGCGGGAGCCTGGAGCGATAAGAAGAAACTGAGAAGTTTAGTACAAACAAAACCATTATTTGCAGCTTATTTCATATAAAAGGGGATGACCAATCCCAGCAATCCAGACCTCTCTGGGTTTATTTTCTTTGGGGGTTGGTTTGGTTGCCACTATAAAGACCGAGGGATTTTTTGGCTTGGGATTTTATTGTTTTTTTGGGGGGAGGGGGAAGGGGGTTGGTTTCTACCAACAACAACAAAAAAAAAGGAAGAAAAGAACAACAAAACCAACTGCAATTTGGAACATGGAGACTCAGTTCAAAAGTAGCAATAGTAATAATAATGATAATAATAATGATAATGATGATAATAATAAAAAAGGGGAACACCTCAGGTTATTTGGCTTTTGGGGAAAAAAAAAAGAAAAAAAAACCAACCAAGAAACCATAAAAAAAAAAAATAAAGGGGGAAGGAGAAGAAAAAAAAAAAAGCCCAACGAGACAGAATTGCCGCGAGCGTAACCTTGCGAAAATCCCCACTCGAGAAAGCTTTCACGTTAGGACATCACCGTTAGCGCTTCAAGGGTATTTTTCTCTTAAAAATTAAAAACCAAAAAGCAAAGAAGTTTCTATTTCCAACCGGTTGTTATGGGGTTGGTTTTTTTTTCTGGCTTTCACACAGCACACATCAAAACTTCTGGCAAACACGGGGGGGTTGTGGCCCCCCCCCCCCCCGCGGCGCACCACCTTTGGA